TATAACAATCAAAATTGTATGTTCTTCATTAACATTAGTCAAGTCGGCTGGTTTAGCACACGGGTTTATTGGCTAGTGTGTGGGTACTATGTCCTCCTCTAATTTCAGACACCCAAAAGTCTTACACTATATGGACAAAAGTATGTGGACACCTGATCATCATAACTGTATGAACTTGTTGGACATCTAGTTTCAAAACCATAGGCAGCTATAACACCCTCCACTCTTTTGGGAATACATCTTACAAGATTTGGAGGGTCTGTGGGAATTTGTGCCCGTTCAGTCAAAAGAGCATTTATAAAGTCAGGCACTGATGTTTGACAAGAAGCCCTGGCATGCATTTGGCATTCCGATTCATCCCAAAGTTGGGGTTGAGGTCAGGGCTCTGTGCAGGCCACTCAAATTCCTCCACACCAAACTTGTCAAACCGTGTGTTTATGGACCTTGCTTTGTGCATAGGGGTACAGTCATGTTGGAAAAGGAAAGGGACTGCCCCCAAACGGTTGCCACAATTTTGGAAGCATATCGTTGTCTAAAATGTCTTTGTATGCGTTTGTGGCGTTAACATTAACTTCACTGGAGCTAAGGAGCCTAGCCCAAACCCTGAAAAACAGCCCTAGACCATTATCCCTCCTCCACTAAACTTTACTGTTGACACTATGCAAACCAGTAGGTAGCGTTCTCCTGGCATTTGTCCATCAGACTACAAGATAGTGAAGCGTGATTCATCACTCCAGAGAACACGTTTCCATTACTGTGCAGAGTCCAGTGGTGGTGTGCTTTACAACCACTCCAGCCAACACTTGGCATTGTGCGTAGTGATCTTAGCTTGTGTGCAGCTCTTCGGCCTTGGAAACCCATTTCATGAAGATTCCAATGCACAGTTCTTGTGCTGATGTTGCTTCCAGAGGCAGTTGGAAGCAACAACAGCACAAGAATGATGCAACAGAGAATAGGCGCTACGTGCTTTTACGCGCTACATGCTTTGGCAGTTGGCAGTCCCACTTTGTGAGTTTGCAATTTGTCTACCGCTTCCTGGCTGAGCTGTTGTTGTTCCCAGACATTTCCATTTCACAATAATTTACAATAAAAGCATTTAATGTGACAGTGGCAGAGCTAGCAGGGCAGAAATTTCACAAACTGACGTATGGCAAGGTGGCATCCAATGACAGTGCCACGTTTAATGTTACTGAGGTCTTCAGTATGACTCATTCTACTGCCAGTGTTTGTCTATGGAGATTGCATGGTTGTGTGCTTGACTTTATGCACCTGTTAGCAATAGGTGTGGCTGAAATACCTACACTCCATAATTAGAAGGGATGTCCACATACCTTTGGCCATATAGTGTATATAGTGATTTCAGTAACTGAGAACATGGGTCACACTACCCAAATCCTTTTTGCATGGAAGTACGGGGAAAAAGTGGAAAATGACTGTGCTAACAAATTTAACCCAGTTGGTTCATTTAAGGAGACACATTTTGCTTGAATTGACTGAATATAATTTAGCATTTTAAAAGCACAACATGTCAGGAGGTGTTTTATGGCCTTGCAAAGGTTCTTCTACATTCTTACATATTTGATTACTGTGCTATCAATATAAACCAAAATTAAATGAACGCAAATGAACTGTTTAATAATTGTCATCTAGGTAAATATTCTGCTAGCACCTGCATGTCATTTCTGTTAATTATTTGTTCTACATCTTGCACACTGCACAGTAATCCTGGGCAGGAAGAACAGGATAAATCTGTGAACTGCATTTGAATGTCTTTCAATTGAGTTTTTTTTTTTTTTTTTTTTGGTGAACTTCTTGACACAAGTTCACAGATGTGCCCCTGACCTCTGATTCATTGGTGTACAGGCACCTGGTTTACTGTGTGTGGGATGTGCTGTTGGAGTTCCTAATCCCCGAGCTGTCTGATGACGACTTTCAAAAGATGCTGCTCCAGAGTCTTTCTAAAAACGCAGAGAAACTACCACCGTAGGAACTCTGCGAAACCTGACACACGCATGTTTCAACACCCACCTTCTCTTGTCAGAATGAGTCTGGTCAGTCATGGAGGTGCAGTCATGGACGTGAATGAGGCAAAATGGAATATGTGCATGGTTTGGTCTGACTCTAATTTAGCCCTTACGTGTCTGGGTCTCGCACACAATATGTGCATCTGGCCTAGCTTTGATTACTGGCCACCTGTTTTGCATTTTAGCAGGCCTTGACTGATCTCCAAAACACCCCTGGACCGGATCTGAATTAGTGCAGAGCTCTCTTCTCAAGCTCTTATCCACCTTCTTCTGGCTTGAACTTTGGGCAAACCTTTTACAGATGGACTTGTATTAGAGTTCATAACACCACGACAGATTAAACTTAACTTGGCCCTGCTTTAGACTCTATCTTTTAAAGTCACTTTAAGTTTACTTGTTGCTTATTTCTCTTGCTCCTTGCCATGGGCACTGCGCTGTGACACATTTGTCTCTCATTTGCTTAAGATTCCAACCTCTAACTTCCTGTTGTATCTTCCGCCACTTTATTTAGGTTGGAGGGTCTTCCATGTGAGCTGGCATGAGTTTTAGTGTCATACTGAAACTGTACATCCTCTGGGGGATCTTTTACAACTTAATCTTGTCAGTTCACAGAATGGGAGCTGGTAATTTACTACTTTTTATTGTTGGTCTTAAATAAAATGTTCGACAGTATATATATAACAGAGACGAATGCAGAATGCAGAGGGGTCTTCTTTCCATTCCATTTTCCTACTCTAAATGTTGTTGGATGTTATGTTACCGCATTTAGGTCCTTGTATATATATGCTAACCCATTTCTTTGGATATAAATACTGAAGTATTTTCCTTACACTTGTGCACTTTGTTGAAATCATAAAGAATATCAGGCTGATGTCTAAAACAGTAAAAGAAATGTCTTATCTGCCTTAACATGTTTGTAAACCTGTTTTGTCTGTAAAGCAGTTTAAAGACTTAAAAGGAATGGAACAAAAGCCATGAAAAAGTCATTCCTTAACGGTCAGTATGCTTAACTTTTCCAGAGTGCTCGGTTTCTTGAAAAGGTTTCATTTGCCGTGCCTATTCCTGCGTTATGTCCCGCATTCAAACCCCCCCTTCCCCAACCAATATAGTGATCTTTGCGATCCTTGTGAAATGTTTACTGTCATGATCCGGTAAATAATCCACTGTGCTGCCCACTGTTGTGTGAAATGTAATGTGTATGCTTCAGTGAATGCACTACTTATAATTGTGTCAGTGGAGAAATTGTGTTGTAAGCAAAGCTGTGAAATAAACATTCTGAGAAGAACTGACCTGAGAGATATTTCTGAATAAATATCGTGTGCCTATGTGCTCTGTAACATGCTTATTTGTCCAATAAATATAAATGCTCTTTGTTAAATAACACTGTGGATATAATTACAGATTTAGCCACTTGGAGAAGCTTTAATAACGTGTACATGTTTTATTTATTTATTTATAGCACTCTTTATGTTTAAGGAGGTGTTCCTTTATGACTGATTTACCTCAGGATAAGGCTAATGCAACACATCTGACCACAATTTGACCACCATCGTTTTATTTTGTGTCAAACACAATCCGGATTATTGTCAGGTTTCTTGGAAATCCCATTGTTATCTACGTCAGATCAGTCATTGATTGTGCTGAAACATGAAACACTGCCCTGTAGCACTGCTATAAGGCTGATGTGGGTCCTGCTGTGGCGGAAAGGCGGGGCCTGCAACTTTCTTACAAGTTTGGTGTTTCTAGGCTCTAAGCTCATTTGGTTAAAATCAGGATAATGAGGAACACCTGAAAATAATATGGGGAAAAAAAGTTTTTTTTTTTCCCGAACAGCTATATTATAGTTGTCATGTCATATGAACCATTATTTTCAGCTATTTTAATCGCTAAAATTGCAGGACTTGTGAGTTTTAATGGCCCTAATTGCATAAATGCAGCAAAATTCTGTAAATCAATCATGGCTGTTTTGAATATAATGTCTAAATCAGCTTCTCTGCATCTCCCTGGAGCTGGAGGTCATCAGATTCCTGATTCTATATGTACTACAAGGCTGTTTGTAATTTTTAATTATTGTTGTGCTCTCTGGAGATTCACATAACAATTTCTGTCTTCTTTAGAACATTGTTGGCCAGTCCTGTGATGACTCATGGCACAGCTGGGGGTCAGACCTGAGTCTTGGCTACAGTATACACTTTGTCTCGGTTAAGAAGCTGAACCTTTCCATCTGCTGAATTTAGGAACTTTTCAGAATGTTCATATTCAGCAACTACATTTCTTTCCTATTAGTAGTCTCAAAATTAGACATTACTGAATAATTCATAGTAGTTACTGAATAATATGCTTTGAGTCGATTAACTGAATAAGAATTGGGTACTGTAATGCGTATATCCTTTGACACTTGAACCCGAATACCAATTTATAAATACAGACAAAATATGTGATGATGCGTATATCTAACTGTCTGTCTAACTATTAATGCTTTAATGCATACTATGTATGGTGTAGCCGTAAGATGCTGGAACAAGGAAAGTTTATTTATTTATTTATTTGGGCTTTGTAAGAATTTGTAAGCTAATCGAAGCTAATCTATTTTACAGAGGAAAGGAGGTTGCTGCCTGAGCAACAAAAACAGGCCTCCTATTATGGGAACAATTTTGGGATGCCTATGACAAACAGAGATTTGGCTGAATGTCTGGAATTAGAGTGTATCTTAAACGGGGAAACAGTCCAAATGTAAGCAAGGCAAGGCCCTAGAGAAGGTTACTCTGGCTCA